ATTACATAGACACACATAAAACATACTCCCTCCTATTCATTATAAATGTCGTTTTGACTTTTTTGATTCATCCATTTTGTTATGTATCTAGACATATTAATGTTTAGATACATAATAAATAATATGTCTAGATACATAACAAAATGGATGAATCACAAAAGTCAAAACGACATTTATAATGATCAGGAGTTAGTAAGTCTCCAAAACCGAAAAGTGAGTATGACTTTGGAACCATGTGTGATCATATTATGTGACCATTATATGGCCACCATGCACACAGTGTGGTAATTGTACATATTATGTGACTATGCACACAGTGTGGTAATTGTGCGATTGTATTGTGTGATCTTTTTCCGCAGAATCTAAAATAAAAATGAAGTATTTTAACATTGTGGAGTATAATTCATTTTTAGAGTGAAAAAGATGATCCCACAACAATTTTAGAGTTATGCTATAGGTACGTAATATTGTACGTATGAGTGTACATAACACTAATGTTTTAAATACCGTGCCGTACATGCCATTGGTACGGTACAATTACATTCAAGATACCGGATTTATGGTTATACCTAGGGATGCAAATGAGCCGAGCCGAGTCGAGCAATGGCGTTATCGAGCAGGATTGAGTATTTTTTTTAACTGCTCGAGCTCGAGCTCGTCGAGCTCAATTTTTTAGGCTCAAGCTCGACTCGATAAGAAATTACAATAGCTCGAGCTCGACTCGTGCTCGACTCGAAATCAAAATGCTCGAGTTCGGCTCAAAAATTAGATAAAATTACCATTAAGCACCTATGCTAATACATATAATAAGGGGTATTTTTGTCATTAACGTATATCTCGAGCCGCTCGACGAGCCGCTCGATAAGACAAAATATAGGCTCGAGCTCGACTCGAGTTCGTGCTCGAGCCGCTCGAGCTCGACTCGAGTTCGGTCAAACTCGAGCTCAAGTCGAGCTTTGACTCGAGCGCTCGCGAGCAGCTCGTGAGCCGCTCGACTCGTTTGCAGCCCTAGTTATACCGGTTGTACCGCAAAATACCGGTCTAAAATACCGGCCACTAAAAGAAAATCAATTTTTTTTTTATTTTAAAATAATAAAATTTAAATTAGTAGTTAAAATATTTTATTTTTATCTTATTGAAAAGTTAGAATTAATGATTATTGCCATTTATTTTTTACTTTTTTGTATTTGGCATTATATATGTTTATGTATATATATTTATATAAGATAATGTTCCCATACCCACGGTGAACACATGTTAATACGCCCACCGTTTATGTGGCATGCACACATTGGTGATGTTAATATATTCAAAAAAATACATCACCAATGTGTGCATGCCACATAAGCGGTGGACATATTAACATGTGTCCACTATGGGTAAGTGAACATTACTGTATTTATATATATCATTATATTTGTTAAATCGTTAATACCACTGATATTACCGATCAGATAATACCACATACCCGTGGCTCAACCCGTATAGCCACGGGTATCGGTATTTAAAACACTCCATGACACTCATATTCAGGGGGGCTTACCAAAATTATATTATTATTTTTATTAGCTTTTTTTAAGTTATTTCAAGTTTGCACACAAAAGGCTCCAAACTGAAATGTGTGGCTCTCTCTTATTCATTCTTCTTCTCCAGCTCCAAAAAAAAAAAAAGTTACCTTGACATCGAGAATCAGCTCAAAATCTGTCAGGGATAATTGGCAACCAGCTTCCGACTCCATAGTTTCATCTTCTTAAATGTTTTATACAGTGGTTGTTAGGGCAACGGTCGTCCTTTCATGAGCACCAGCTTCAGTATGTTGGATGCTGCAGCTTGCTTCACCAATCGCAGAGTAAGAGTTTCAATTGGTTTTTCGCTATTAGGGCATGAAGATTTCTTGATTTTTTCTTGCAATAGTTAAATTGGGTGATCATTTGCACAGTTTCAAGGAAAAAATGAGTGGTGTTAGAATATCACTTATGAGTTGTCCCACATCGTCCATACATGGAAAATAGACCCACCTTATAAGTCTAACGGACTACTCCTCCTTCCACCAATTGGTTTTGGGATGAAACCCCACTTGGGCTTCGTATGGGCTTTCCCCGCTCTTGGTTTGGAAGGGTGTGATAGTTTATGTGGAATGGTTATCCTGCACTGTTTTTGGTGCATATTAGTTGATTAGGGAAAACAACTTTATTTATGTGGACAATTACGTTTGTTTGATCTAAAGTCTTGGATTTTCTTGTGGAAGCGACATAGAATGTTGGTATTTGAAGTAATTAGTGGATTCTGCTATGGAGTCCTCAATACGTGTGTTGTGGAGTGAACGTGTCACGAGACGAGGAACATTGATGTGGCTTGTATGAGCTGGTTTAACTTGTGTGTTTTGAGAAACTCTGTTTTGTGTACTTAATGGCCATCATTATATGTTCCTGATGTCTTGGATTTGTTTTCTCTTTAAACAGAGGTCGGATAATGTTTATTGCATTTTTAGAAGAATGATAGATGTGTAGTTCCAAGGAATTCATGGTCATCTGAGGAGAATGTTTTAGAAAGTCCGCTAGCCATCCCCCTTTTTTCTGCAAAATATAGTATTCTATTTATAGATTCACTGATTCAGCTCGTGAGACTTAAATGGAAGAGTCCCCATATTCCGTAGCTTTTAACAGATATGTAATATCTCATGTTTTTTTTTTTTTTGTTTTCCATTGTACTTTATTGCATTGAATTGGAACTGCACAAGTGCAGGGCTGTGACATCATTTTCCGGACCAGTTCTTTTAGAACAAATTCTCTTGCTATCCGCTCATCCTCACATTATCTCAATGTGTCACCCGCTTGTGGCCAGTTGGAGCATGTCCGATCCCTTTCAATGCATTCCAGGATAAATTACAATTTTGCTTACTGCAAAGGCAACTGTTTTAATGGGACAACATTGTCAAAGAATGTAAAAAGAATAGCCAGGTTCAGGATACATGCATCACTGGATGTTGCAAGTGCAGTTGATGTTATCAATGACTTGGGCTTGGACACGCTGACATTCTTAGCCGTAACAGTATTGGTGGTTCCTGGTTTCAAGATGATTAAAGCTAGTCCTGTAAGTTAACTTTATCGGTAAAAGTTTTGTGACTAATGGATTTATTCTTCACACACACACACATGTTCATATATGTGTTTGTCCGTAGGATTTCAAACACACACATATATATCTTATATTGTTTCACAAATCTCACATTTCATATTGAAGTGAGTTCAGAGTATAATGACGCTATCACCATAGCATGTTTGTTTTCTTATTTGGTGTGTGTGTGTGTGTGTGGACTTCTAAGCCTCCAAAATCTCATCTTGACTGGCCAACTTTGTTAACACAATGAGTACGACACGGTGCACTCTAGTGAATTTAATTGTTAATGTGTTGTATTGATTAAATAAATTGAACTCTCTGATTATGAGCTGGTTTGATTCTACTAGGTACATCCAACTGTTGCTAATTCCTGTAGTTGTTTCAGATTCTAGGTTTCTTCTTTGCGGGAGTTGTGCTCAATCAATTGGGTGTGATTAGAAATATCACCGATGTTAAAGTTCTATCTGAATGGGGAATTCTCTTCTTGGTAAGTTCAATGATTTCTATGAGTGACTTGATTTCTTTGTTTCAATTTGGCCTGATAAATGAGTGTGTTCTATCTTTGAAGAATGTCAGTGGCTCACCATGCCAGATCCTTCCTTCTTTTCTTCCTTACACTTATTTTATTTTTGTGTATTATTTTTAGTTTTTGTACACTTGTTATCATGTAAAATGTTGCTGGAGATTTTTTTTTTTTTTGAAATTGGCTACATATGGAACTGAGAAAGCTCCAAAACTGACTGCCTTGTTGCCTTCAAGTTTGGGGAATGAATGTGTTGGATCTCAAACTCATTATTGTTTCAAGGCATCAAGATTAGAAGTATGTTTTGGGAGACTATGTGCATGGTTAGCAAACACAATCAATTATGGCAGGAAATCAGAAATCTTCCACCATTTATCTGTGGTCATTATGTATTTGATACTAGAACGAGACTGATCAGACTATTTGGTTTTTACTGCAACAAGGATGACTCCTATAGAGCAGGGATAATATATAATTATATGAACCCATTTTGACCATAATGAGTGGACCTGCTTGTATGGTGGACCTCACTGATTTGAAACAGGGGGTTTATGTCATAAATAAGCTCTTCGCTCATGGGTTGAAAATTGTATTTTATTGATTTGTGCAATTCTTACCTGCAAGGATCACTCTGCAATTTTTTATGTGTATTTTAGGTCGCCTACCTGTTGCCACAAGTATCAGTAGTTTGTCTATTTATATGAGCTGATTTGATCCATTTATAAAAAATATCAGATAATATTACCTGACAGATAACCCTTGCAGCTATTTGAGATGGGTTTGGAGCTCTCACTTGCTCGTTTGCGTGCTCTTGCTAAATTTGCTTTTGGCCTGGGTCTAACTCAGGTATGTATTGGCAAATGTTTTAGTTCGTTTCTTGTGTGTGTGTGTGTGTGTGTTTAATCATTCAGACTGCCATAAATGTCAGTACGTGTGAGTCTTGTACTTAAAAAAAGTAGAGATTGAGGTAAAAATGCTAGATAACAATTCTATGGTCATCTGCCAGGACGTGCAAGTATCATGTTTTATTTTCTTAGAGTTTTAGATTCGGGAAGAGTGCGGTCCCACAAGGGTGGAGCGCACCATAAGAGAGCGAGCTAGTTGACACCTTAGTGATGTTCCATTCCCAATTGGAAGGAGTAGCCCACTAGGTTTATAAACTAGGCCCATTTTCTATAGAATCAATGTGGGACAACTCACAAGTGATATTCCAACAGATTTTACTGAAGGTGGTTTCATAGAGTACTCAGTTATATATACTTATATGTGGATAACTTACATAAGTACATTTGAGTGTTTCAGGACGGACGCTTCAGTATTTTACTTGACTTCAATGTTTCCAAAGCTTAACATATTAATTCTTGGTCCAGTGAAGTGCAGCTGTTAACTATTACTGTTGTGTTCTATTGAAACCTCAAAGCCATGTTATTTGCCTCCTCCTCCTCCTCCTCCTCCCTCCTCTGTGTGTGTGAAATATGTCGTGTTTTTGGTGGATACTAAAACATGGTTAAGAGCTCCCTTCTACAGCGCATGAGATAACCTCTTGTTCGTGTGTTGACTATGGTTCTTCTTTTGTTTTTTCTTCATTGAAGGTTTTACTGTCAACTCTCGCTTTTTCAGCATTTGAGCTACCACCAAACGGTGCTATTGGAACAAAAATATTGGAGTTTCTGTTTCACTCCAGACCTGACTTGGTGAGACCATTTTCTACAGCAAGGTGTTCATGACTTTAGCCATTATTACTCTCTCTCTCTCTCTCTCTCTCTCTCTCTCTCTCTCTCTCTTTCTCTCTCTCTATCTATCTATCTATCTATCTCTGTGTGGTGTGTGTGTGCGTATGTATGTGTGTGCGCACGCTTATGCTACTGTGTGGTAAATCTTAGGTCAACATTAGAAGCATTGACGAAGCAGTGGTTATCGGTGCTGCTCTTTCTTTGTCTTCGTCAGCCTTTGTTCTTCAGGTACTCCTGATGAAGAACTTTAGTATGTAATCATCAGTAGCTATAAATATTCAGCGTGTTACATTTTTCACTCTACTGCCACCAATGTCTTAAGATGAGTTTGGTAGTGCGGTTTATCAAAATATTAATGACTTAATAACTTGTTGAAGAGGCTCACAAGTGACACAAATTCTAGGACTTGCTAAAGTGCTTTTTAACATGCAATCTGTAGCTTCTTGCAGAGAAGGGAGAGCTTCCGACTAGATTTGGCTCAGCGACTCTTGGGATACTTTTGTTGCAGGTTGTATATATGCTTTTGTTTACCGTATTCTTTTTCTTGTTTCAATATGCATATTCCTACTGCATATGTTATATTAGTTATCATTGTTGTATTTTTATATATTACTACTTGGTATTTGCAGGACATTGCGGTTGTCCCACTTCTAGTGATACTGCCCGTTTTGGAGAGCCAGGTATATTGAAGTACTTAAGATGCGCTCGTTAAGTGACTTAAGTGGTTTAACACAAATAAGTTGTATAATCTTTCCTTGAAATAGTGTTATATGTTTGCTGCAAAATTTGTTTTTTATTATTATTTTTCGGCAATTTGTGCTTCCGAGTTCCCAGCTAAGACATCAAGTAAATTAGCCTGTGATTGCTTGTTCCGTTCGTTTGTTACATCACTGTTGTTTTTGCTGCTATAAATTCCATTCCACCCTAAAAAAATTGAATTATCGGCAGAATCTCGTCGAAGAAAGTATTTGGCCAATGCTCGCGAAAGAAAGCTTAAAAGCTTTAGGTGGATTGGGTTTGCTGTCCCTTGGCGGGAAATATCTTCTCAGACGGATCTTTGAGGCGTGTTTCTTGTTCTTCGATGAGATTACAGCTTTCGATGTAAAATATGATATCAGCCTTCATATGAAATTTGTTTGCCGATTTTAGGTTGTTGCAGACACTAGGAGTTCAGAGGCATTTGTCGCCCTATGCTTGCTAACAGTTGCTGGAACATCACTCATAACACAAAAGTTGGGCTTTAGTGACACGGTTTGATATTGTTTCCTCAAATACAGATGGATAATGATAGATATCATAATTGTCCAATTAAAGGTTTTTTTTTCTTCATATGTAGCTAGGGGCTTTTCTTGCTGGGGCCCTTCTGGCAGAAACAAACTTCAGAACACAAATTGAAGCTGATATTAGGCCTTTTAGGGGTTTACTCCTTGGGTTGTTTTTTGTAACAACTGGGACTTCTATTGACATGCAGGTTTAATACATTCTGGCAGTACTTGTTGATGTTTACTTTTTCCCTTCTTTTATAGACATAAACGAACACTCAGATATACATATGTATAAGATACATAATCTTTCCTTAGTTTTTAATGCATTTCACATTCTTCAACATAATTGTTAACTTCATCGGATGCAGTCCATTGACAATTGCTTAGACTTTTCTGATTGCCTTTGATTTTGTCATAATTTCCTACCCATCTGATTTCTGAACTTTATGGTTGTTCACTTTTCAGTTCATAACCCTTCTTTTACACTTAAACTCATCTCATGCAGCTTCTTATCCGAGAGTGGCCGAACGTATTTTCACTCTTGGCAGGTCTGATTGTCATCAAGACACTGATTATAACAGCAATAGGTCCACGTGTTGGACTCAGTCTCCAGGAGAGCATAAGAATAGGCTTGCTTCTTTCCCAAGGCGGCGAGTTTGCATTCGTAGTTTTTTCCTTAGCGAACAGGTATTCTAATTATTATTTTTTACACAGTTTACTAAATATTATTATTGTTATTGTTATTGGTTTTGCTTGACCGCTGTGTTTTTTGTCTGTTGCCTTCGAGTTTTCTGTTACAAGCTGATGCTTAATACTTGTTATAGGCTAGGAGTGCTACCACTTGAACTAAACAAGCTTCTCATAATCGTTGTTGTCCTGTCTATGGCACTTACTCCCCTACTCAATGAAGTAGGAAGAAAAGTTGCTGATTATATCGGCGAGAGATTTGAAGATGAGGTGGTAAGTTGCTGAATCTGTGTTGGCTTTAACTAATCAACAGTTGAAAATGAAGCTAATATATAACCCCATAAAATGGTTCGATTAGTTAATCAAATTTCTCTCTCTCTCTCTCTCTCTCTCTCTCTCTCTCTCTCTCTCTCTCTCTCTCTCTCTCTCCCTCTCATAGTATTTTATAGACATTTCTTTCTTTTTGAATAAAAACTTAGTTTCCTTTTGAAAAGTAAGGGCGCGTTTGGATATGAGACAAAATCGGTTTTAATCGATTTTGACCGATTGAGTTATTTTGTTTCCAATCTTCTGTCTCAAAATCCAACTCAACCCAACTCGCCTCAATATTACAAATATAATTAAATAATAATACCAATCAATCATCCCTCTTTATTTAATTCACTATTCATCCACTCACATAATTTTAACTACCTGTCACTTAATAACCTCTCTCCTACTTTTACAACACATCAACTTTAACCATTATATTTTAAATATTATTTAATTACAAACTCAAATTCATCCACTCAATCAACTTTATTCGAAATAACTCGCTTTAACCAACCAAATCGAACCACCAAAACCGGTTGGATTCATATCCAATCATGCCCTAAATGACTGAAAATAGCTTCATTATGATACAGGCAGCCGATGACTCTGTAAACTTTGACGCCAGCGAACCTGTTGTTATAGTTGGATTTGGACAGAAGGCTCAGGTGAAAGTTTCTCTATCATAATTTTGGTTTTAACTTAAAGTTGTCATCCAATGTTTCTGATGGCTGATTTCTCGTAAAGGTCCTTGCCAATTTCTTGTCGACCCCATTGGCTGCTGGATCAGATAGTATGGATGCAGGGTGGCCTTATGTTGCTTTTGATCTTGACCTTTCTGTTGTGAAGGTAATAAAATCAAAGTCAAGTAGTAAAATGTAGTGCAGTGTAATTATATGTAAGCTATTTTGTTATTAGCATAATATGAAAACTGACTTCATTTCCAGATTTTTACTTTGTTTTTTTCATTGATTGAACGTTTTCTTGTTTTGTTTCAATGGCTACAGACGTCTAGGAAACTCGGTTTTCCTGTTCTGTATGGTGATGGGTCCCGTCCAGCCGTATTGCAGTCGGCAGGCATAAATTCTCCAAAAGCAGTGATGGTAATGTATACTGGCAAAAGTAGGACAATCGAGGCTGTTCAACGCATTCGTCTTGGCTTCCCTGGGGTAAAAAGTTTCATATTCTTCTGTTGCCCACTTAGTATGAGAAGAGAAGAAAGAATTAACTAATTAATAATTAATCAATGAATTAATACTTGTACTACACATGTATTTGAAAAAGAAAAAAAAAAAATGACACTTTTGTAACATCACAATAACATTCAAACTCTACATCATTTAAGTTGAGATGTTCAAAACTTAGTATCATTTTTTGTTAATACTTAATTCCGTATTTTTCCCAAGCAATACACTAAAATGATTCTTTATTTGGTTTGATTAAATAAATTTATATTTTATTTATGAAGACAAGGATTTTTTTTTTTTTTTCATACTATATATAATATGATTGTGAAATCAAAATTAATTAAAATCGTTAGAAGATGATATATTTGACATATCATATATGAAAAATGAAATACAAACAAATTATTAAAAATAAGAAGAGTACATATTTATAATAACTCCAATATATGAATTAAATAAGAAAATATGAATTAAGTAAGAAAAGGAAGATAATATATGGTAATTTAAGAAAATGACAGGTAAAATATGTGAAATTAATAAAATGAAAGATGAAATAGTTTTATGGTAATTCTCAAGCCTACACTTGTGTCAATACGAAGCAGAAATTTATGCAAAATAAGCTTCCGAAGCGTGCGGGATTGTCATTTAAGCTCATCACGTTTTGGATTAGTATATGGGGGGGATTTGTATCACTAAAAAATATTGATGAGAAACACGGTTTTGCAGATACCCATATACGCGCGTGCCCAAGACATGATGCATTTGTTGGATCTAAAGAAAGCAGGTGCAACTGATGCTATTCTCGAAAATGCAGAGGTAAATCATTTCTCTCTATCCAAATTTTTCAAGGTGCTTGTACAAGTGACGGAGCTTTCATTTTCCAACTCTTTGCTTGAACCGTGTTTCAACAGACGAGTCTACAGCTTGGCTCCAAGCTTTTGAAGGGGCTTGGTGTTATGTCGGATGAAGTAAGCTTCTTGAGTCAGCTCGTGAGAGATTCTATGGAGTCTCAAGCTCAAGAAGCATTGGGAAGGGCCGAAGATCAAGAGTTGAACGTTATGAAGCCACTGCAGGTGCGCGTTCGAACATATATTAAAATACAAAACTATACACGTGTTTTCATGTTTGAAGCGGCATATAATTTTATAGTTTTGCTTACGGAAACCAAAAGTTGAATAAAACCACGAATAACAATTTCAATGATTTTTTTTTTTTTTGTTTCAGTTTTTAATGTTTTTTTCTTTTTTAAAAACCTTTTACTTTTGAATTTTGATTTGATTAATTCAGTTCTGATTTTCAATTTGCTCTGTCTCCATTAAAATAAAAAAGGTGAAGGCTTCGGATTTAGTTGGGATATATACACCCTCAAAAGATGACGAATACCAGAAGGAGACTACACAAACGAGCAAATACAGCACGTTGAAATCGAGCATTGGCAATGACCCGTCTCACGACAATGGCAAGCTCTCTTTGGACGATGAAGAAGCCAAAGGCGTGTTGTACTGTGAGATAGGTACACCAACAGAGAGCAACAACGTTCAATCTCGTGATAACATTGATGACGCTGATGTGAGAAATCCCATTGGCGTTGCAAATGAGGATCCTTGAAAGAGTTTTTCCTTCTCCTTCAATGGCCTTTTGGTGTTAGAGAATAATCCTTTTTGAAGTATATATAATATAATTGATAGATATTCTTTTGATGCTAAATTCAATGCCTTTGAATAACCAAACATGTACATATCATTATTTGATACATGGGCTTGGAAGTCAGAAATATTGAATATGCCTAAAAGATGAATAACGAATGTAAGGGAAATGTTACGGCCCCGTACGAAACCATTCCGTCGAAGTTTGTAACCGTTAGATCATCATGTAACCGTCGGGGATAGTTGATCTAACGGTTACAAACCCCGACGGAATGGTTCCGTAACGATAGTAAATTATGAATATCTATGCTCATATGTTCATGGAACGAAGTTAATAAATTGAATTAAGATGGATTAAAAATTCCCATTTTTTTTTAGTAATTTTGGAAAACACGTTCAATTATTAATCTAGAAACCTAGATTCTTAAAGCTAATTTGACGAGTAACAAGCTTTTTAAGCAACCAAAACACCAAGCTTGAATTAGGTTCAACAAACTCTCCCACATCGGTTAGATATTGTAAGGTAATCTTGTTTATTAGTGCCAAGATAAGAAGACTTAACCGCCGAGCTCAGTAGCGTGAGCTTGTAACCCAAGTGGGGGCATTAAAGTGATTGGACTTTGGGCCGGCCCAGGGAGTTGGGTCATGGAAGCTTATGCTGGTCTGCCCGATCCAAGTGGGGAGTTGGTTTAAGCGGCCCAAGCGAAGGCATGGGCTGCGTGATCCCTGGAGCGGAGGGCATAGCGTCAGGCTGGCCTCACAGAGCAGCGAACACCTCCCGCTCTCTACAGTGGATGGATAACGGGCCGGCGCTTACTTGGCCCGGTTCAACTTCATGGGCTGGCCTTGGTTGAACAATCACTTTTTGTTACTTTTTTAACGGGCTTGGTTGGCCCACTGAAACTTATGTATTGCAGGCTCGCCTTTATTGAACAATCGCTTTATGCTACTTTTTGCTTGTTATTTTTTTTTTTTTCTTACAGTTAAATCTGATGAGAAATATGTTGAATGTAATATATATATATATATTTTTTGTTATAATAAATTATATTTTAAAAATTATAAATATAAATAAAAATATGTCATTTAATTATATATCATGTCATTCCTTTTTATCAGATATTTGGACGGATTGACTATTATATTCATTGAATCGTCTCACAACAGTCTTATCTTACATAAATTAATTGTATTACTCTTTTCATTATTAACTAGTGTGGCCCGTGCGATACACGAAAAAATAATATTACAATTCTGTTATAAGTTAAATATACAAATAAACTAATCAAGATTTACACATTGTTGTTAAATTAAACCGTGTTTGACACAATCCAACTGTATGGATCGAGAACCAATTTATAATCAGTCTAGTTCGCTTGAATAAAATATTTACTATTGAATTCGTCAACACCAGTCGGTTGAACTGGTATGATCGATACGATTTTCTAAATAATTTTCGCTACATTTAAAATTATTTTAAATAAAATTACATATTTAAATAAAATAGAGATGTATAAATTGTTTATCAATTAGTTTAAATAATTGAATTAATTAAGTAACAAATTTTATTTGAATTTATTACAAAAAGTACTATATATATGTATGTATATGTATTAAAGCATATTTTAAAAGAAAAAAAATTAAATTGTATGATTATATTAAAGCGTATTTATAAATTTATTAATATATAATAAGGATTAACATAATTCACTTTTAGAAACTCTTTCCCGCCAATTTCATTAATTATTACCTAAAAATAGTAAATTAACAAATTCGCTATTAATTAGCATATCTGTTATTCTGATTTTTTTTAGGAATACAATTAAAACCTATTATATTGGTATCCAATATGGAATCGAAATCCAAATAAATCTCCTCTTTTTGTGGCTGCATATAAATCTCCTATTTTCAATGCTCATATCCTGCGTTAATTAAGGAGTCTGCCAAAAAAAAAAAAAAAAGATTCAACTAAATCAATAAATCAACTAATTAAATCATATAATAATACATTTGAGAGATTCATTAAAGTAGGACTTTCGTGTAAATCAGTTGATCAACTAATTCTTTTTTCGTTTCACGCAAGAAAAATCCTATACCATTCAATTTTTATTCCCTTTCCATAATTTTTTTTTATTAGAATACAATCCCAAAAATCATATTAATATAGATTAATTGATTCATATATATATAGATAACATATTTTATCAACTTCTCCAATTCCTTCACATAAAAAAAAAAACAAAAAAAAGAACTTTTGCAATACAGGAAAAAAAATGACACCGTTATTTGATACACTTCATGCAGTTAATAGGTCCAACAAGCTACAATTTCGTACTCATATTATATCTATAAGTTAAATATGTTGTGTATATATGTAAACAATTTATGTGTTTTTAATATTCTAAACATATATGTTTAATGTTCTTTTAATAAAGATAAAAAAACTATAAAAGTATTACTGAATATTATGTAGCTAATCAAAAATTTATAGTCAATTATTTCATTGTTTCCTAATCTATAATTTTATTTGATTTGTAAAATATAAATTAACAGATATAATTATAGGTTAATCACTGAATTGATAACTACATACATTATTTTCCGTTTAGTTTCCATATCGTAACTACATACATTATTTTCCGTTTAGTTTTCATATCGTTGTATGTTTTTTTTTTACTTCCATCTCTTTTGTATAACTTCGAAATATTTTTATATATTATTCAATTTGTATATATAATATTAAATCGAACTTTGTTTTACAAGCTTCAATTTCGCACTCATATTGTATATATAAGTTAAACATGTTGTGTATATATATATGTGTGTGTTGAACTTTTTTTAGACATGTTGTACATATAAAATAATTTAGAAAAATTTAGGTGAGCTCACATTTTTTAAGAATAATATTATTAGATAATATGACATATGTTATATAACAATTTAGGTGTTTTAATATTTTAAAACATACATATTTAATGTTCTTTTAAATAAGTTAAGAAACTATAAAAATATTAGTGAATATTATTAGGTAATCAAGTATAATCGATATTAAATGATAAACTAACAACTCATTTGTCGAACTGCCATATAAGTTATCATATTATAAATAGATCCATCTTAGGCTTCTATTTAAGTTCCAGCGGCACCAGTTCCTTCTGATTTTTAGGGTTCTATTTAACAGTCAAAGTCAATATTTTTGTATAAAAAAGTATAAAAACATGAGTTAATTTTATTTGGCTAATGAAGTATAATGATAAACTAACAGCTAATTTGTCTGGTTGTCTAAGTAAAATTATAAATAGATCCATCTAAGGATTAAATTTAAGCTCCATCAGCACCAATTCCTTATAATGTTAGTGTTCCATTTAAGAGTCAGGGTCATTCTTTATGTGTGTTGGCATGTTTATAAAGAAATCGGTTCTTAGGCACTACCAATTATATGTTGTCGTTTCACTTGTACGTAATAGATAAAAGTCGTGTATTGGCATGTTCTTAAAAAAATTGGTTTATAGTCACAACCAATTATCTGTTATTGTTACGTGTGTAAGTAATATATAAAGAAGAGTCAAAATCAACCTTTATTCTACGTTGACATGTTCTTAAACAAATCAATTTTTAGTCACATACAATTATGTTGTTTGTTTCGCGTGTAAGTAATAGAAAATGGTTGAAAATATTAGTTTGCGGGAACAACAAGTTGCTTAGTTATCAAACAAATATTGTTGTGTTTAATGAAGTTTTAATAATATATTTTTTTTCATGAGGAATATTTTATTATCTGACAATTTCTCTATGAATTATCACTCTTTTATTTATTAATACATTTCAAATTTAATATTTTCCAAAAATAAATACAGCCGTGCATCGCACGGGTTACATATTAGTTAAATTGTATGATTTTTAAACAAAACAAATAATAGAACTACTATTTATAAGCTGCATTAAATGTTGACCTATTTTTAGTAAATAGGTTCTCTCTTTATATATATATAGATATAGATATAGATATTGAATATAAAAAAGTTAATGGTGTTATGAGTAAAAAAAAAAAATGCAAGATTTGTAAAATTAAGTGGTCTATCTAGTATTAGACTTCCATTTTCATAAATTGTTAGGTAGAAACCAATATTCATAAGAATATTTTTATCAATGTTTTTCTTCTAACTATTATACGAACACATGAAATTATAGTTTAGCAAGATCATCCGGTGTTGTTTCTATAGGCGGGAGTAGAGATGTAAACCAATTGAGCCAAGTTCGGGCTCAACTAATTCATTAAAATTAACAAGTCGTATTCGAGATTTAACTAATTAAGGTAAAATAATAGTACAACAAATGATGTAAAAAAAATACTATTTACGGAGTCTAATTAGGTTTGACGAGTTGCTAAACGACCTTAAATTCGGCTCGTTTATAAAAAAAAGAGCAACTTGTAACTTATATGTTAGGCCAATTATGGCGATTAAATTGCAATGTGTAAATTCCTCAGTTGTCTGTGTCATTCGTAATTTCGTATAACAACTTTAACACAGACAACTGAGGAATTTACACATTGCAATTTAATAGCCATAATTGGCCTAACATATAAGTTACAAGTTGCTCTTTTTTTATATATTTTATTTTTACCAGAATAGTATGTCACAACGTCGAGTAATCATGCAATTAATTAGTTGAAAACATTAAATTTATTATAATAATTGTTTATGTGTTTTTAAGGAATTTTACTATGACATTAAAACAAATTAATTTATTTCAAAAAACAATCGCTTAATGAAATGAACTAAAAAAATATAATATTAATTTTAAAATAAATAATTTGAACAAAAAGTTGTTACAAAATAATTTTTTATGTCCATGTAACTTTCATATATCATTTAATGTTAAATATAATTACTAATTTAATAATAACTATTATATGATACAATAAAAAATATAATTATCACTCAGTTAATATAATATATAAAGGTTTTTACCTTAATTAATAAAAAAAAAAAGGTGCAAGGAAATATTATATCATTAATAGGATAGGGTGGATTGATGCAATTATAATAATAACTAGTACAACACCCGTGTATTAGACGGGTGCTTGTTAAAAAATTATTCTTAAATTTTAAAATGAATGAGAAACTATATTAAATTTAGTTTACTTTTTTGACAAAAAAAAATATATTACTATATATTTTGGAATGATATGTGTTACTTATGACTTACATGTGTTATATTATATTAGTTTTTATAACTTATATCATATAACTACTTGAAATATAAATATATTAGTTGATAAATAATTTTATTTTTCTAATTAATATTAAAAGTAATTTTATTATTGTTATAAAGATAAATATAATTTTTTACATACAATATGGACGTTAAATCGAAGCTCATCAAAAAAAGATTAATTTGATATATTACATATTAAAACTGATAAAAAATACAAAAGTTATTAACTTTTAAAATATATGTACAATTCAATAGTTATAATAAGGAATGATATTAAAATACAATTAATACATGTAACATAACCATAAATAATCAACATATTTATGGTAATCCGAACCTAATTATTTTTGGCTTGGAATTAAATTAAAATTTACCCAAGTCTAATAGCGAAGCATGTAATTTTGCCACATAGGATTACGAAACACCAGAAGCAGCCATGTAGGCTCAGCGCGTTCTGTATTAATATATAGGGGGGATATAGGGGAGATTTTTAACTTACAACATATAACTACATTAAAAATAAATATATCAATTGATAAATAATTTTATTTTTCTAATGAATTTTAATAAATATTATTATTTTTTATTATTATAATAAAAATATAATTTATTTATTTAATATATACAACATGGATATCAAATCGAAGATCATCAAAAGATGACTAATTTGATATATAATATATGTAAAAGCGATAAGAAGTACAAAAGTTATCAACTTTTAAAATACATTTACAATTCAATAGCTAATTGAAGGATACAAATCAAAGTCAATGATATATTAGTCACTTAGTGTCTCACTATGTAAAATTAAAAATAATTAAAGGGTTATATTATACAAGTGATATTAAAATACCTAAGTTAGATAAATGATATTTATGGAATGTCCGAACCTAGATTATTATTAATTATTAATATATCAATATTATTTGTCCAAACCTAATTACGAAGCATGATTCTTTGCCAAATAGGATTACGAAGCACCAGAAGCAGCCACGTAGGCTCAGCGCATTCGAGAATTATATATAGGGAGGATAATAATAATAATAATAATAAAATACCACATAAATAATATGTATAAACTGTTATAAAATGTGAGAAATATAAAGAACACAATGTAAAAACCGGATATGAATTATAAGAAGCTGTCTTTGCTCTCTTTCTTCACTTTATGCGTACATAAATTTGTAAGAAGCACTTGTCTTTTATAAGCAAACATTGGCACACTATTCTATACAACAAAACATACTAATAATTTAATAATCAAAATGATAAGTTTTAATGGTGGTAAAATTCCACTTGTGTATAACATAAACGACAATAAAAGCAAGAACTCGTCATTCTCAAAAAATCAAAACAATCAAAATATTTCAGCGTAGAAGCTGTTGCAATGCTAAATTGATACACATCTTCAAAGGCCTTTTTTTTTTCTTTTTTTTTTTC